CAAATTTTCAGAGAATGGTGTACTAGTGAAAATTTATCATATCTACAATTTTTATGTCGTTATGACGTAATATGACGTCATTATGACGTCATTAATGTGATTTTATTGGCCAAAACCGTCTAAATAGGTTTTTCCCTGAAAACCTCCCTGGTATACAACATAACTTTACCAAAAGTGTTTATGACAGAATATTAGTGTGTACTAAGTCTTATGTTGCCCATAGCAACACCTGGTGACGTCATAAAATGACGTCATGCATATTTAAGATATCCGCCATTTTGGATCATCAATCTTGAATTTTCAAAAATAGTTTTTTTTCATGATAAAGCCTAAAATACATTGTAAACATACTAAACACCTTCATTCAAACCTTTTTCGTAAAAAGAAATGGAAGTTTTGATGAAATTTTAATGAAAATAACCCGTATATACCTGTTCTAATGATATGGTCCGCCATCTTGGATTTTGGCCAATGACGTCATCAAATTAGCATAAATTATGCATATTTAATGATAAATTTACATAAATTATATGGGATGTTATTTAATATTAGAAACCATGAGTTAACTTGACATGAAACTCATTAAATTCTATTGTTGAAACAAAAAGTACTAAATTTAGCAAAAAATGCCTGTCAGAAACCCGTTGCCATGGCAACACAGAAAATTATTATCTTATTCCAATGATAGAGAATTGTTGCCAACAATATTTTAGGAAAAGTCACCAAGTTTGGTCGTTCTACGGCTAGCCGTTCAGACGCTAGGTGACATCAAAGTTGCCGCGGGCACTTTTAGCCCCCCCCCCCCGGTCTAGGTAGGGTTAAAGTACCGAATGGGTCATCACGCTTCGTCAGGTTCATGGTGCATTACGACAAAACCCTAACCAATCAGTTTCAGCGTTATAAATTCGCGGCGGATTTTGAGAAGCGTTCTATGATTCACCTACAGAAACACACACAAAAAAAACACACAAATAAAACGATAATCGCGGGAAGTCCCGCACAGCGTCCTGCACTCTCCCGCAACGTCCCTCGAAAATTGATGCGTATTTCGTGGCCTGTGCTGTAGATATAATGTTTCCACCGCTTTTACAACACACCTTTTCCCTGGCAAAACTTGTAAACAAACATAAGAATCAGGGTGTAGACGCTT